TTGCGCGCTGCACTTTGTGTGGTCAATCGAGAACCACCGCAACAATGGTCGATTTTCAGCGACTCAAGGGCTGCCCTACAATCTGTGCTCTCAGCACTGCGTCGCGGCCCGTACGAACAGCTTGTTTTCGAAATTCGATGCCTTCTCCACACTTTACTCGAGAAAGGGCATCATGTGACGCTTCAATGGCTGCCAAGTAACTGCGGCATCATAGGGAACGAACATGCCGATACTGCCGCGCGGGCAGCCCTTGAAGGAACACGAGAAGAAGCCATACCACTTTCGAGGATTGATGCTGCCAGTAATCTTCGACGACTTGCGCGTGAAATCACGTTTTCACTATGGTGCCCACCAAGCATCGATACGAATCGTCAACACCACCTGTCCTCTTTGATGGCTCTCCGCATGCCCACTGGACTCGACCGAAGAGAAGCCACCCTTCTTCATCGCTTATGGCTAGGAGTGGCATTTACAAAATCTTACTCCTTTGTCATAGGAATGGCCGACAACGCTCTCTGCGATGCCTGTCATTGCGAAGAGACGCTACACCACATCCTGTGTGACTGTCCATTGTATGAAATCCAGAGACAGTCACTGGCGTCTGCTTTTGCGCGCATCGACAACAGCCAAATGTCTGTGGACACTATTCTGTCAAGTGCCCGAGAGAAGACCTTGCAACAGAAGGCGACGAAGGCTCTGTTGAAATTCCTACGCGACACCGACTTGAACAAGCGACTGTAACAGCTATGTCACACACCGCGAAAGACAAGACTGGACTATGACTGAGTGTGCGCGCGTGTGCTGCCGAATGTGCTGTTTCTATCTTCCCTCTCCGCTCTCTTTCATCTCCCCCATCCCTCTCCCATGCGCAGGGTAGCAAACCGGCTGCCTATAGGCTGGTTAACCTCCTTGCCTTTCTTTTCCCTCTATTTTCCTTCCTTTTTCCCAATAAAAATATAGTAAGTTGCTCTTCTCACCAAGTCATTGCATTCCGTATTTAGTACTACACCTATATATTCCCTACATCATGCAGATAATTTTTTCGTAATTCAAATTTCAATGCCTTTTCCTTATATGCTATGCTAATAATAACCGCTAGTTTAATTACCAATTGTCTGTAGTGGGTACGAGCCAAATGTAGAGGATCAAATAAACAAGCAAGCTAAGTGAAGAAGAATAAGAAGAAGTAAGCCTCTTTTGATGGTTGTCCCATCCACATCACACACCTGGGCGCATGCACAACGTGCTCCAAAGGCGCAATTCTGTGTTATTATGTCTAGACTGAGGAGCCCCGCATCTGCAACAGGAATTCTAGCCTTTGGCTATGGGTCCAAACAGTTTTTTGAGCTATCATGTTAGAATTGAAAGTAAAGTGAAATTAAATAAACGAAATGAAATGAACCCTGGCCGCGAGGATATTTCAGAGATTGTTTTCTCGGACACTTTTGACGACCAAGACTGCCTTAGGCATCCTCCAGCCGGCCACGGTGAAGATGACGACGAAGTGGTCTCTCTTATCCCAGCCGAAACAAGAAGATTGCCTTGCTGAGTCAGCGATCAGCTCTCGAATTTCACTAGCCACACATCCACTTATTATTTAGCTGATACACTGCAATGATTCAACTTTCAGGAGAATTTCATATAACGATTCCACCTCAGATATTCAACAAATCCTATTACTTCTCTCCCCCCCCCTTTTTTTTTCTTTTTTTTTACATTCCGCCAAATTAATTTCACAGTCAAAACACAGTAATCATATTCCCCTAGTCTAGAAAATCTATAGGTATTGACTTGCATTAACCACCGGCTTCTTGGCCAATCCCCCTTAGTGGGTGAGAGCCACAAAAGAAAGGAACAAGAAAGCAAGCAAGCAAGCAAGCAAGCAAGCAAGCAAGCAAGTTCCATCGCCGACGAGCTGGTTCCTGGCGGAACTTTGAAGCTTGCTCTCGGGGTGTGGCCAAGAATTAAGTAGCTGTTGTTGGATAATTGATCTATTATCGTTTCCTATACTGCAATAGTTGTTTGATAAGTGTTTTTTGTGCAATTCAGACAAGACAAGATGCACTTATCTTCGCCAGGGCCAGGGACTTTTCTCTGGTCTGCTTCTACGGATCCGAAGGAGGTGCCAGTGGATCTTTTCTTGCGCAACGTAATATCATCGGTTCCAGTGGCTCCAGTCCCGACCAATGACGGCATCAATCGGATGAAAAACCCGAAAATAATTGAGGCGGAATTACGGTCAGTGACGGCCCATTTCCAGTCCATAACGGAGGTCCGCCAGTTCGGCAGAGGAGGCAAACTGTGCTTTTCGCCAGACCAGTCCTGTGTCCTAGATCTACTGAAGTGCTCGATGTTTTCATCCCAGCCGGTGAGCACGTACATACCTTCACATTTAGCATGTACCCGAGGTCTAGTGCGTGGCGTCGCTGCCAACATGCCACCCTCCGAAGTACTAGAGCTGTTTTCGCCAGCAGGTGCTATTTCAGTCTATCGGTGTGGACGGGTGGTTGATAAGAACAAAATACCAACTGAGTCTGTAATTGTGACCTTTGCGGGATCAGTCCGACCATCAGAAATTAAGGCTTGGCGTTTAATTTACAGAGTAGAGCTGCTCTCTCCTCGTCCGCTCCAATGCATAAGTGTTGGCGTTATGGTCACACAATGACAGGTTGTAGATCAGCGGTCAGGTGTAAGGTATGCGGGGAAGATCACAATTCTAGCGACTGTCAGAGTGATAAAGAAAAGTGTTGCCTATGTAACGAAGCTCATGCGGCCGATAGCTCTAGTTGTTCGGCAATGTACGTGAACTGCGAATTCTAGAGATAGTAGAACGAAGACGGTGTTCACGGAAGGAAGCAGCACTTGAAATACAAGCCCGAACTCAAGGCTACGCCGGTGTTACAGCTCGTATTATGCAACAATGGAAGCTCTC